AAACCTTATTATCTAGTTCGCGAATATACAAATGGAGGGACAGACAGACGGACGGACATGACTAAATCGACTCAGCTCATCATGCTGATCATTGATATACTCGTACATACATATGGGTACACTAGTGTTTACATAATTAGAGACACTCCTTTTTCTTTCAAACATTGATTTATTTTATAATTGGAAAACGACACGAAAGTTTAAAAAAAATTGTTTTCATATATCAATTTCGAATTGGTCAACTAATTAAGCATTCTTCAGGTTTTTGTTTATTATATTAAAAATAAAAAAAAAAATCAGTAAAAATAAGTTTTAAGTTACTATTTAGTCGGTAGTATTTTGATTTAAGCATAGCTTTGCAACTTCTAGGCAGACTACCAATTAAACGTTGACATCGCTCAGTTGATATGCTCAGTCATATTTCTTGACATTTTGCAATAATTCGTCAGCATTTTGGTTTGATTTATTTCTAAAGCCCCCTTAGATATCTGCCCGGAGGTTTTCGATTGGATTCAAGTCCGGACTCTGGGCAGGCCAATCCAAAACCATAATGTTTTCGGACGAAACCCAAGTTTTAACACTCCCAGCAGTGTGTTAGTGTCGGTATCCTGCATAAAAATGTAGTAACCAGAGTCTTATTCTACAAATGTCTTCTAGTACTCTTCCTAGTAGTCTGAGTCAATGGAGTGAAAGTTGAGTAGAAAATCGTTCTATTGTGTATTGTGATTAAAGCTTCTTAACTATGAACCTTCTTTGCGTTTTTTGACGTGCGTTTCGCTGAAACAAGATAGTTCGAAGGCAGATTAGTTATTATTAACAGGCATTAAGTCAGTATGGTTTTTACCTCCTTTAAGCATTGTACAAATGCTACAACTTTTTATTGCTGATGTAACTTTTATATATAGTGGCTTTTTTATTAAATTTATTTTAATGCAAGAAAATTATTGTAGCGTCTGTCATGTGGAACAAAGTGTACTGCTGCTAATATTATGTCATTCCTTTGATATGCATCAATGTGTCTGTTGCCATTTGAAACGCTACGTCATATAGTATGTGCACTTAACCCTTGTCATTATCAATGCTATGACGTCAATAATTCAGAATTTTGTAAAACAGAAAAATTTGTATACTATACAATTTTCATAGTCACTCACATTATGTACATATATTAATATGTATGTATAAGAAAGCGTGAGAGAGCTGTATATGTGTAAAAATATAATATACAGTTCATAAATTCGTTCATTATTTATGATGTCATCAATTGACGCATAGTCATTGCGTCTATTCAGGCGATTAATATTTTTACATAAGCACATGCACTATACTGTGCGGTTTTAAATCTAAAATGGTATGATTGAAACAAGAAAATACGTCGGAATGGTCTCGTGTCTGAAGTATGTTATTGTTCAAATTCAATTTTAAAGTTTAAATCAATTTCATATTGGTATACGGAAAAACTTATTTTCTGAACAGGATATATAAAGTTTGCTATCAAGTTTGTAACACTCAGAACGAAACGTTGGAGACCTGAACTGAGTCCGTCTGGGAATGAATATCTCTGAATATTTACTAAATAGTTCTTCAATAGTTCTTCTTCTTCGTTTTCCTTCCCTATGAAGGTAGTCATTTGTCGGAACCGCCGATATCAGATCACTATAACATATAGCTGCCATACAAAAACAATGACCAAAATTAAGTTCTTGTCTAGAAAACTTTTTATTTCATGGATATATCTTCACGAAATTCATCATAGATTATTGTTCAAGGCAATGCTATAATACCCGAACATATTATTCAGAGCGGACTACTATAGCATATAGCTGTCATATAAACTGACCGATCAAAATTTTACTATTTTCTTCATGGAACATTATTTGTTTAGGATATTATAGTTTCGATGAAATCAAAGATAACGGTTTTTCATATTTTCAATTAATTTCCATTTTTTTTACCGTTATGGGAAAAAGTTTAGTTTTCAGGTGCAGCAAATTGCGTTATGCAAGTTTCAAATGAAAAGGATAAATTGAATTTAGATCGTGAATATTTAATACCTCTGCACGTACTACTCGGTTAAATCGCTACTCGTAAACTTTTTATACTCTCGCAACAAAGTTGCTAAAGAGAGTATTATAGTTTTGTTCACATATCGGTTGTTTGTAAGTCCTAAAACTAAAAGAGACAGATATAGGGTTATATATACCAAAGTGATCAGGGTGACGAGTAGAGTTGAAATCCGG